TGTGGCCGACGAATATCCGCGTAAATCACCATTTTCCAAGGTAATGTCAAAGTAAGTTGGACGCCAGTTGACAGGGTGTTATATTTTGTGCAGAATGATTTAAGACCAGGTTGGAACAACTTGGCAGGCGCAGTCGAGGGCACAGGTTCCAGATGAATGCGAAGAAGGGTGTGGGCCTTAAATTTGATTGGTCCGGTTGACTGGCTGTGATTGCACGAGAACCAGGCCGTCAATAATGCAAATTAGCGCGCGAGAGGCGCGGCGTTCCAACAGACGCCCGGAATGGGGTCACAAAAAGTTTATTGCCCACTTTGGTATCGCAATAATTAAAACTACAAATTCTGCCCAATTTACTCCTTTCTCAGTTTCTGGTAGATCATCGGGAGAATTGCGATTTGCGAGGATGCAGTGCCAAAATTATGCGTGATTTTCTCCTGCGAAGGGTAAACCACCTGTACCCAGAAGAGGAGGAGGAAGTGGAGGAGAAGGAGGAGGAGGGAGGGGAGGAGGAAGAAAAGGAGAAGGAAAAAGAGAAGAAACCATCCGTCCGACAGCAGCTAATCAAGTCCATCACCGCGATGCAGTTTTCGTTGGTAAGCCAGCGGCCCAAATCAGGCTAAATAGACTTTCTACTTGGAAAAATTAAATGGCAAGAATTTTTTTATGAAACCCCTATTAGGCGATTTTTCTGGCTTACAGCTCAATGACGATTTTTTGAACGACCAGCTCAACGCAGACCACGCTTGGATGGAGGCTGTACTGTTTAACTGTCACTGCAGCGATGATGCTCCCTTCCCATCGGAACTTGCCCAGGTTTGGACATTCTCTTCATTTCGATTGTTTTGGTTGGAAGGTGACTTTAAGTATCTTCCTGCCCTACACTATATCCGCTGCATTTTATCACTCTCGATTCCAGGGGCCTGTTTTCAAGCTCAGCAGTAGGAGCTTGAGAAGTCTATTTAGCCTCAGAGGTGATGTAGATCCCCTAAAAAGATTGTTCCCATTTTATTGCTGCATACACCTCAACATCCCTTCGCCCCACTCTATGGATGGCAACGGTGATGATTCGCACTGCTGATTAGTTCCAGTAGCGGGGACCCCAGGCGTTTATAGAAGATGAGAATGGAAAGCATTTCCTACCAGAAATGCGGTCCAAGTTTCAAAATTGCAAGGCAAATTTTGATCCTAGAATCGAAGTAAATCGAATTTCACACATACCAGAGCATCAGGAGAAAAAGCATGTTTTTGCAGCTAACTCGATAAACAAAGATCAGAGCACGACTCCAGAATTTTCAGCCTAGGCTATATCCTACTTCGCAACCCTAAAAATTCCTAATTTCACATTAGCATCCAAAATTTAATGACAAGGAGTAAAAGTTAAGTCCAATGAGAAAATAGAGCACAAAGACTTCTGTAAAAGGCTGCGTATAAAGATTGCAGACTAAAACGCTTAACCCTTAACGGTGGCTCGAGCTCAATATGACTCGGGAACTGAAAAATAACGCCGAAACCTAAATATACTCCCGTTTTGAAAGGAAAAACAAGAACAAAATCGGAATGATCTTTTACCAAATGTGTACACGGCATAATATTTAAGTGCAATTTTTTTATGAAGTGTATTTGAATTTATGAAGACACCGAAAAGCAATTAAAAAAACATGTTACTTAAGTAATCATCTCGGCTTCGTGTAGTTTGGGCAGGTGCGTGCAAAAGCCAACAGCCTGGCGTGTTTGAAATATTATGGGAATGTGCCGCACGACAATCAATATTCCAATGCCATTTACTATTTTATACAAGCATAGATTGTGGGTGATCAAGTCCACTTTGCCTGCACAGGCAACTCAAATTATCAAAATAAAGCCAGTATAGTAGTGACATTTTGCAAGACATTAAACTTTCGGGAGATTCATGATCTCAGAAAAATATTACATTGTTTTGGCAAACGTTCTGGCAAGACGCTGGGATAATAATTCATTAAGGAAGGTGTTCGATCATCCTTCTTTTTCTCAGAATATACACGTTCCTGGAATGCGAACATTCGCTTCAGTTCGTAATTCATGACTGTATGGACTTAGCAAACTCTAAAATGCATGACAAATAATAGTTATAAATAAAATCTTCTCATAAGGCTGCTTATCACGCCCTGTAAGTGTTAAATTATTGATATCACTTATTGCTGTTCATTTAGATACTGCCTGAAGATAATTCACAGGAAGTGGCTCGGTGGTATGACTTCTCTCACCCAATCCACCTGCGACCCAGTCATGAAACGCCCCTCCACCTAATCTACCAGTACTACGAGGCAATCTGAGCAGCCGAGGGTTGAGGAGTCCCACAAAGTTGCATCCTCCACAGCTGCCATAGTTTCTGTTCTTTTACACCGGAGACTATTCACTCTTCACCATTTCTGACTTTACGCTCCTTTTAAACCGTTGGTTATCATGATAATAACCAGTAATTCACTCAACTTTACTGTTTCCGAGCTATAATTTTTCTGCTGGCACCCATCATGGCTCACACATACGGGGTCACCAGCAACTGGGTCTGCATCATGAGACCCTTCGGTGAATCGCCGAGGTTGGCATTGAGCTAATCTGAGTTAGTGGAATTCCGATATATCAGGCCCTACGGACACAACTGCTACCCGACGGAGATAGCTAGGGGAGAAGCCCACGATGCATTCCGTTTCGGGCTTTTGTTTCTTGTTATGACCCGATCTGATACTTTGAATTCACACTAACCGCATACTTGTCCGACTACTGTCCCAGCCGCCAACACGGCGACCATGAGTAAGTGTATTCAAGTCATTCTCACTGAAAAGTTGTATGTAGTATTCCGTTCGGGTGGCTCTTTTCTGTCCTATCCCCTTCAAGCGAAAGATCGAGAAGGGTTGAGTAACTTCTCGCGGACGGGAATCGATCCGATTCGGCGAGAGGTTAGAATCCTGGTTTGTGTCCCCGAGCAGCACGCAGAAGCCCCATCCTCCTGTAACACAGAACCCGGCGCAATAACGAGTATACAGTTTGAGCAGTGCAAGGAAAAGAAATATAAATAAAAAATAAAATTTATGAAAGCAGGAATAAGCAGGAATTATTATTTTAACGCTCTAACCTTGCCAACAAAAAGCGCGCGATAATTAAAAGGTGCAATTATGCAAACATTAGGAAATAACTAAATTAAAAAAGAACTAGCTAAAAATAAAAGCAACTAACTAAAAAATGTAAACTAATGTTGGGTAAACTCACATAACTAAAAATAATCTAAGACTAAAATAAAAATAGTGAGCATAATAATGAACTGAAAACTGAATGTAAATATACATAAGTTAAACAAACCAAATAAAATAAACTAACGTAAAGTTGATGCGCATCTAAATTGAAGATGTGCGCGGGGCTTCGCGCCGCGAACTATACAAATCTAACTCTAGAAAGGTAAGTCGGATCTGAGGTAATTTGAAGTAGACGACCTTCTAACCACCAATTTTTTTCAGGAATATCAAGAAACCCAATAAACTATAAAGTAAAGGGAAGTAAAAAAAATGTCCAAAGTTGCCACACCCAATAACTTATAAGTAAGCAAGAAATATAAGAAAATATCTGTGTTTATTTGTGGCACGCTATTTTGTTGCAAAAACATTAGATTACTCAAACAATGTATGGGAACCAAACTAGGATTCCACCGACGAGAGCTGTGTGGCAGCAGCCAATGTGGAATGCCATCGAGCGCACTTTCATGGCCTGCAGCGTGAGGAATGCGCGCACGTGCTTTTTGTGATGACCCGTCGTGGGAATGTGAGCTTTTCCAACATTTCTTCTCTCGTCGGGTCTAATAGAACTCATTCACTGTGAGTGTAGTCCCCGTTATGTTTGGCGTGGAATCGTGTAATATCCAGCAGCCTAGGCACGGAACTAATGCGGTCAGAAGAGGCCTGATGGTAGACCGATCGCTGGTTATGCTTGTTCACATCCCTAGTATTCCCTCATCCCCAACTTCTGGGTATGGCTAGCTGAATGCGTGAAGGTGGGACCGAAAATGATCACTCCAGCGGCTCCGTCCTTTGTCGGAGAATTCCTCGCTATTAGTCGATTGCCGATTTGCGGCAGCTTGAGGGCTCTAGGCCAAGGTAAAATTAAGCACTCCTATTACGTCTTTCAGGCGGGAAAGACAGATGAATGCGCGTCTCGCGCCTGCCACGGGCGTTGACTAGAGTGAACGCGCACCAGCAAACCTCTCTGTCACTAATTACTCCTAAGAGGGCGATGGAGCACCTCACGGTATGCTTGTGTGTCCTCCCTCACGACGCCACCCTACCCCTGTTACGGCTCCTTCCGCACGACTTCTGTTGAAAAGCCAGAGCCGC